CTCCTACTTCTATATTCACATATAAACCCAAAAAAGTGGATGGAGGGAAGGCCGCTGTGGTAGCTCAGTGGTTACAGCATCGAACGCGCTGTTCGAAGGTCGTAGGTTCGATTCCTGCTCACGGTGGTTATTTTTTCATCCACTTTTCTTTCTTCTTGTTTACATTCCATTGGTTCTAATAACTTCCCCTGTACATTCCTTGGCATTACTGTCTGTTAGATCTCAATATTATTGTGTTAAAACACAAAAAAACGAGTCCTTAGGTATACACTTCTTTCCTTATTTCATTGAACGAGGGTCTCGTACTGGCAGACTTGGTGTCTTTAAGTTATATACGAGGGACTATTATTCAGCTGCCCGCTCATAATATGTTCACGTGCCACGTGACGTCAAACATGCGCACAAAAGGATGTTTTCACACTCCTCGCTTGGCTTATAGATGACGCTGACTGTCACTCCTACTTCTATATTCACATATAAACCCAAAAAAGTGGATGGAGGGAAGGCCGCTGTGGTAGCTCAGTGGTTACAGCATCGAACGCGCTGTTCGAAGGTCGTAGGTTCGATTCCTGCTCACGGTGGTTATTTTTTCATCCACTTTTCTTTCTTCTTGTTTACATTCCATTGGTTCTAATAACTTCCCCTGTACATTCCTTGGCATTACTGTCTGTTAGATCTCATTAATGTTGTGTTAAAACACGGAAAAACGAGCCCTTAGGTATACACTTCTTTCCTTATTTCATTGAACGAGGGTCTCGTACTGGCAGACTTGGTGTCTTTAAGTTATATACGAGGGACTATTATTCAGCTGCCCGCTCATAATATGTTCACGTGCCACGTGACGTCAAACATGCGCACAAAAGGATGTTTTCACACTCCTCGCTTGGCTTATAGATGACGCTGACTGTCACTCCTACTTCTATATTCACATATAAACCCAAAAAAGTGGATGGAGGGAAGGCCGCTGTGGTAGCTCAGTGGTTACAGCATCGAACGCGCTGTTCGAAGGTCGTAGGTTCGATTCCTGCTCACGGTGGTTATTTTTTCATCCACTTTTCTTTCTTCTTGTTTACATTCCATTGGTTCTAATAACTTCCCCTGTACATTCCTTGGCATTACTGTCTGTTAGATCTCAATATTATTGTGTTAAAACACAAAAAAACGAGTCCTTAGGTATACACTTCTTTCCCTTATATATATATATATAATATATATATATATAATATATATATATATATATATATATATATATATTATATATATATATATATATATATATATATATATGAGATCTAACAGACAATAATGCCAAGGAAGGTATAGGGGAAGTTATTAGGCCAATTGTAATGTAATTGAGAAGAAAGAAAAATTGGTGAAAAGATAACTTGCCGTGGGCAGGATCCGAACCTGTGACCTTCGAATAACGCGTTCGATGCTCTACCACTGAGCTACCACGACAGCTATCTCCCCAGCCACTTTATCGGGTATCTATGTCAATTTAAACGTGGGAGTGTCAGTCAGCGCCACTAGTAGCCACGGCGACGAGTGTGGCCCACCTTTTATGAGCCTGTTTGGCGTCACGTAGAACGTGAACTTATTACTAACTGGCACCTGGCCAAATAGTTCCTCGTATACAACCTAAAGGCACCACGTATGCCAGTACGAGACCCTCGTTAATGAATAAGGGAAACAAGTGTATAAGTAAGGGCTCGTTTTTTGTGTTTACACAGTAATAATGAGATCTAACAGACAATAATGCCAAAGAAGGTATAGGGGAAGTTATTAGGCCAATTTTAATGTAAATGAGAAGAAAGAAAAGTGGGCGAAGAGATAACTTGCCATGGTCAGGATCCGAACCATTGAAGGTCGCAGATCTCATTAATAATGTGTAGACACGAAAAACGAGCCCATAAGTATACAATTGTTTCCCTCATTCATTAACAAGGGTATTGTACTGGCAGACTTGGTGCGTTTAGGTTGTATACGAAGGACTATTTGGTCAGGTGCCAGTGAGTAATAAGTTCACGTTCTATGTGACGCCAAACAGGCTCATAAAGAGTGTGCCACATTCGCCGCCGTGGCTCCTAGGGGCGCTGACTGACACTCCCACGTTTAAATTGACATAGATAACCAATAAAGGAGCTGGGGGAATAGCTGTCGTGGTAGCTCAGTGGTAGAGCATCGAACGCGTTATTCGAAGGTCGCAGGTTCAGATCCTGCCCGAGGCAAGTTATCTTTTCACCCACTTTTCTTTCTTCTCATTTATATTACCATTGGCCTAATAACTTCCCCTATACCTTGCTTCACATTATTGTCTGTTAGATCTCATTATTATTGTGTAAACACGAAAAACGAGCCCTTAAGTATACACTTGTTTCCCATATATATATATATATATATATATATATATATATATATATATATATATATATATATATATATATATATATATATATATAGTTATATGTACGTATATATATATATATATATATAATATATATATACATATACATATATATATATATATATATATATATATATATATATATATATATATATGAAGTGATGGTGACGGCAGTGGCAAAATCCAGCCGAGAGGGTCAATACAATCGCCACCTCAATAGTAACTGTGATTGCGATAGGGACTCAATGATACTTTAAAACGGTTCATATTATCCGCAAAGTTGTTTGTTTTCTTGGGGTCTGGTTAAAATATACACCGAGAACTGAAGCAGGCTAGCAGTCCCGGAAGCAATGTGCACGAGTTTCGATTAGGCTGTCACGATCCGCTCCTAAAGGCGAAGCTCAAGCGTCCGCCATTTTTTTCACCACACATACGTATGTTGCGTTCTATAATGCAGAATTTTGATAGGAGACGCAAAACCTCTTAACCGAAGTTTGTAGTACTCAGGTAAAATCAATAATATTATGACGACTCGGTTGTGACGAGGTTTATTGGCCGTGAACTCGGGAACGAACAAGCGCAACGGACCCGAAGGTGAAGCGCACGTTCAAAGACGATGATGACTGTCAGCCAGAACAGGTGATGATGATTGAGTGCTGTTCCAGATGAGGGTGAAGAGCATAATAGATGCCTACAATATGCAGGTGTAGAATTGGTGTAAACAGTTTACAAACCAATAAGTGCGAGGAAACTTGCAATGTATGAGCAAGTTAAGACAGTGCTCAGTCGAACAACGCAGTAACTGTTCTTAGCGTGTTTTAAAGCAAGGCAAGATAGGTCAATTTGAAGCTACTAGCAAGGAGAAGCGGGAATATGCGGCTTATTTGTTCTCTCTTGGTTTTCAAAAATTCTGACTTTGCCTTTACAAATATAACTTGATATTTTCCACTCACTCGGGTCGTGGACGACGAACGAACTGTGTGATTTTACTATGTCTAGAAACGTGCTACCGCTGCGTTATCAAAGAAGAAATGTGCTTGTGACATCATGTCTTGAAGCGCAGTTGGTAGAAAGAAAGTTGCATACTTGTGTGTTCCTACGGCTGCCATCCTTTCAGGCAAAAGCTGGTTGGTGCACTGAATCAACATTGCTGTCACACTTTCCTGAGGAAGCTTTGGAGAGGAGAACCTTGCCAGAACGCTTTACCTGCTATTGACTGTCGTCAGCCAGGCACGCGAAGTTCGTTGGATGAAATTTATATTCACTAAGGTTCACATAAAACACACGCGCAAGTATCAAGCTCATTCAAGCTACGAGATTTATTATTCTTGTTCTCTACAATAAGCAAGTTTCAAATTCCAGCAGCCTTTAGTTAGTTTTTTTTAACACGCAGCACCCTCTTTGCTTGCGGAAACACACGACATCTTCTGTTAGCGGCAAAACACGCGGAGTGCAAGAATACACTGTGAGGAGAGTAGATATTTTTGCTCAAATAATTTTAGTGGGCTTGTGCAGTCAGGGGAATAGAGTGAAGTTATAATTTGATTACTAATTAGGAAGTCTCATACAGTACCGACGAAACGAACCTAAGTTCGGTTTTTAACGCCTCTTATGATTCTCATACCTGTTCGCTCTCTTCTGACTCATGAAGCGTGGACTAAACTTATCCTGTCAAACTTGTCACGGAACGAAGCTAGTCCAGACGTTTCCGCACTCCAGCGATGTAAGGCCAAGAACAATTAAGTGGACCCTTTCTACTGGGAGTCTTCATTAATTGAAACTCTATGTATGTTATCGCTTCTGAAACTCCGCCAATATATTTTCTTGGTTGGGCAAGGCGATAATGGGAGGAATAAGTGGCTGTTCAAAAGAAAGCAGATTTTTTTATTTTGGGGAACTCTCAACGCAACGCTCACACTTTATTTCGTCACCCATTTGAGGAAACAAAAGGGAGCTGTGCCAGAAGAAAGCGCACCTTTTGTTCTCTTGGTCACTGTACTTTTGATTAGGCAGCTCTGAGAAAAAATTGGGCTGCGCGACAAGCGTTCCTTCGATCGATCATCACCCTTTGGGGTTCGTTGAAAAATTTCCCGGCAGCTCGTTCTAAAGAACACTTGAGAATTTCACACTTGTAGTTATCTGATTAAAAGTTCGTTTCAATATTTATTCAGCCTCATCATTAGATCCTTGCGATTGACAGGGCTATAGAGTGGGTACTTTTGGTTGTTCTAGAATTGAATTTTGTGGTGCACTGCTGTGGACCTAATTGCGAAGCTATCACTCAAAAGATATAAAAAGCCGAGTGTTGCTAAGAGTGGAGAAAGTTTGCACTGTGCTTTTATTTCAAGAGTTGCTTTGAATTAGCTGGCTGGTTCCAATTGCATGTATATTTATAATTATGTAATATTAGCTGGTCTCAAGCTTGCTTAAGCACTGTTAGCACACAAATTCATCATTCATTTACAGTGGTAGAGTTTCTGGAGGGGTCTACAGCAGTGATATCTTGGGTGAGTGAGTGAGGAGCACAATGACTCACTCACTCCTTTTTCACTCACTCATTCACTCAATCCTTCGTCAATTGCTGACTCCTTTGCAGGTAAGCCCAAGCCTACGCTGGTGTGGAGCGGCATGCCTGAAGGAATGATGGCCGAGGTGCGCCCATCGTCGGAGGCGCAACTCACCACTTCGACTCTACTCATTCACTCTCTGAGAAGAGAGGACCTTCGAGCGACCCTCTACTGCACGGCATCAAACAACATATCCTCGCCTGCCGACACATCCGTCACGCTCGACCTCAACCGTAAGATGCTGTCACTTTTATGCACATAGTTGCGTGCAAAGTACTACAGCCCAGTTTAGCCAGACAAGGCCTGAGAACTCGTTTTGCCGAAATTCCTGTGTCAAGGATGGTGTTGTTTATGAGTGAGAAACTAGCGTTTTTTGCATGAGCGAACAATTGAGATGGGTGAAAAAAATTGCAAGTATTTCGTCTGGTGAATAACCGGGCCCAGTTGCGCGGAAACAGCAATCCTACAACTGAGCCGTGCCAGTGCTCCAAACTGTCTGGAAAGAAAGTGGCAAGACAGTCACGTAGTGCAAGGAGTCTCCTTAAAATGTAATATTGCGTGGTAGTGGCGTAGAATAACGCCATGCGTCGAAGAAGGCACATTGCACAAAGAGTTTGAGATTTAAAAACCCATTAATTAGAAAGCGCCGAGGCTCAGTAAAGCCTTATCATAAGTAGAGACAGCATCAAGAAGGTGTGCAGCTGCCCAGGTGTGCGTTTTGTCTTGTGGACTTCCAGTCGGTACTTTGGAAATCCCGAAAAGCAAGACCTACTCTGCTTGTGCGCAACTCGAAACTGTAGCGGTATCATCATCATCATCATCATCAGCAGCAGCAGCAGTATCATCATCAGCCTGACTACGTCCACTGCAGGACAAAGGCCTCTCCCATGTTCCGCCAGTTAACCCAGTCCTGGGCTTGCTGCTGCGAATTTATACCCACAAACTTCTTAATCTCATCTGCCCACGTAACCATCTGTCTCCCCCAAAGCAGTATAGTTGGCATTTATGATAACCAGACACATCTATTGGTATACACGCAGTCGCTCGTTATCTTGCTCCATGGTTGAGGTTCACAAGTAAAGAAAGGCCAGTGATTAAGAAGGCGATGTTGACGGGGCCACATAAAGCTATCGCATTCCACCCTGGAAGACAAAGGTCAAGCACCCTTCTAGTTTTTTGTTCTCAGTAATGTGAAAAAATCTTCACAGGTATTGCGGCTTATTCTTTTAGAGTGAATTTTTTGTGAGCAGTGTCACAGAAGCATTTATACGTTGCCTGTGTTTCGGGTGTGCTGACTCGGCAGTTGCGTCTCCGTGTTTTGACTTTAAAGAGAACGCCTTTATTGTCTCATGCTCACGTTTCTCCGTCCATCCGTCCATGGCCTGCAACGATGCCAGGTGGCCTCCTGGTCACACAATGGATGTCGGTAGTGTCGAACACGCTGCGCGTGTTCTGCTAGCGTACCATCGCTGTGCGTGTGCCTACGCATGAAAGAACGGAGACGCGCACATCACATTCCATTCTGATGGACCCAAATAGGTTTTAAACATCCCCGCACCGAGCCAATCTCACTGAATACCTGATTTCGCTGAACAGACTTTGGAATTTACAAAGTGTTGTTTTACTGTTTATACAGTTGCTGGGCGCTTTTTAGTAGGCCTGTCGTCAACTTCGTCAGTTTTTGCGAATCCTACCAACATCATCCTGCTTCTTGCCTCAGTGATATTGACAAGTTCGAAGTTATGAAAAACACAAACTGCACTGTGTTCGCCAAATATTTGTTGCTAAAGCGTCACACGTGTGGATTTAATAAGGCCACACTGCTTGCTCACACACGCTATATACATGTAGTGCGGTCTCAATACTTGGGAAATAAATGAAATGAAATATCACGTGCCGTATATATTTGTTCATTTTCTCGCATGCTTCTTTTGTTAGAGTGAACTATTCTTTTACTACATGAAGAGCAGTACAGAAAAGGACTGGCGAAAGAGGTGAGAAGCTTTGAAACAAAGTTGTCGAGCTCTTTATATGTGAGATAGACACGATACCTTTCCGCGTTATGGATCACTTGGAATTGCGAATACAATGCATGGTCTGCTCATCATCATCTGGTTCATCTTCTACTAAGAAGGGCATCTTGTTTAGCGGTACGAAGTCTAAATAACAATTTAGGCTGAAACAAATTCAGGTAGGTTTTATGTATACGTGTACGTTTCTGTGATTTAATTATACATGTACATATGTGTACATGATGAGTATTTGACGTTCGTTGAATGCTGTAGACTTTGCTTTGATAGCAGCCAACAGCTTGCGGCATAAGACAGTAACAGAGTGCTGCAACATTTTTTGAACATGGTCATGGTCAAAGAATATAGCCTATCGGTAGACGTTCCCCCAGTAATCATGTTAGCCATAATATACGACGCCGTAAGAGGCAGTTTACAATATTGTTTAAACTTAGCTAAACTTTGCTCGTTCTTATCTGTCAGTACAGATAGGAGCGACGAAGATTGCTTGAATACGCAATATGCTAAAGAAAACATTGACTAACATCAGTATTTGAGCCAACCTGTGCCCGCAGTGCGTGCCTCTGCATGTTCGTGCAGAGCTCTGTTTTTCCAACCTATAGCCCTGCCGTGCATTCACACTTCTTTGACTTCCATTCTCACTTTACCATTAATACTATTGCTAGAACTGCCCTACTGCCAGAGCCCCACCGCGGTGGTCTAGTGGCTAAGGTACTCGGCTGCTGACCCGCAGGGCGCGGGTTCAAATCCCGGCTGCGGCGGTTGCATTTCCGATGGAGGCGGAAATGTTGTAGGCCCGTGTGCTCAGATTTGGGTGCACGTTAAAGAACACCAGGTGGTCTAAATTTCCGGAGCCCTCCACTACGGCGTCTCTCATAATCATATTGCCACGTTCCATTTCACAAGTTTTTGTTATCGTTCCGAAACACCACACGATTCTCGGCGCAAACCGCGCCTGCAGGTTTCGAGAAGGTTCCGGACTGTAGTAGATCATTTCGATAAGATCATGCCCACTGTGCGAACGGTACAGATTGTTCTGGAACCTACGCCACCGCCAGCGATAACGCTAGAACATTCGACGGCAAGGGTATAAATGCCGACGCGCTTCGCCGCCTGTCAGTTGTTGATCGAAGGCCGACGCTGCGTTCGCCGCTATCAGTTCGAGACTGCTATCTGTGCAAGACTGCTGCTGTAATTAGGCTTTCCCTTTACCGGGCACAGGTTCGCCCAAATAAACAGTTAAATCCCAAAACAAAGTTTTCTGTCTTTGGCCACGTCACGATTCCGTGACATCTGGTGGAGGTGCTGCTTCGTTCATCTACTGGACGCCCCCGTCAAGCCGTGAACCCAGCCCCCTTCGCGGAGAAGACACCGACGCCCACCAAGAGCAGCGAACGAGCCGCCGACAGCAAGGTCTCCCAGCGGAGTACGGCCTGCAACAAGACAAGGCGCGGAAGACCAAGACCATGACCTCGACTGCAGCGACAATGACAACCGGAGCGTCCCAGCCCGCGATCGTCATTCATCAACCCAGGGAACCACCAACGTTCCATGGCTCATCGTTTGAAGACCCGGAAACCTGGCTAGAAACATACGACCGTGTGGCCGCCCTCAACCACTGGGACAACGAAGAAAAGCTCCATCGTGTGTACTTCTACCTGGAAGACACCGCAAGGACCTGGCTAGAGAATCGGGAGTCCACGCTCCGAACGTGGGATGTCTTCTGCGGCGCATTTCTTCAAACGTTCGCAAGCGTCGCTCGCAAAGAGAGGGCCGCTGCTCTACTCGAGACCCGGGTTCAGCTACCAAATGACAAGGTTGGAATTTTCACAGAGGAGATGACCCGCCTTTTCCGTCACGCTGACCCAGACATGCCTGAGGAAAAGAAAGTTCGTTTCCTCATGCTAGGGGTCAAACAGGAGCTCTTCGCGGGACTAATGAGGAATCCACCGAACACCTTCCAAGAATTTGTATCGGAGGCGACCACTATCGAAAAAACGCTGGACATGCGCACCAGACAGTATAATCGTCGCCTGACTTCAGAATGCGCTGCTGCTGAAGCCAGTGACTCCGACGACCTGCGTGAAACGATCCGAGCGATCGTGCGGGAAGAGCTGCGCAAACTGTTGCCTTCGGCGCAGCCTCAAGTGGATTCGATCGCCGACATTGTGCGAGAAGAAGTCCGGCAATCGCTTCGAATTCCCGAAACACCGCCGCCCGAGCCAGAAACTATGAGCTACGCCGCTTCAGTGCGCCACAACGCTCCTCCCCGTCCACGCCAAAACGCCGCCCCGTCACACTTCCGTCGCCAGACGCCACCGCCGCCACCACCCCAACCGACGTACTACCGTTCCCCAGCGGGCCAGCGCAGTGCACCGAGGAAGACTGACGTCTGGCGCACCCCTGACCATCGCCCGCTCTGCTACCACTGCGGCGAGGCCGGACACACATACCGCCGTTGCCAGTACTGACAGATGGGACTGCATGGCTTCGCCGTCAATGCACCGCGTCCGCAGCCAGGAGATCGACCACGTGACATCGCTGACTACCTGGCAGGAACTCAATGGACACCACGAAGTCCTTCCCGTTCGCCGTCGCCCAGCCGCCGCATGTCACCGCAACCCCGGCAGTACTCTGGCCCAACACGGGGCCGGTCTCCTAGCCCGTATCCGGGAAACTAAGGGCAGCAACCGATGGAGGTGCGGTTGCTGTGCGACGAACTACCGAAGATCCTCCAACGACGACGCCGACGCGACGGTGCTTTTTGAACACAACCCCAACCAGGCAAAGCCCTGAAGGCAAAAGCTCACTTACCGAAGGTGGCCGGACGACGCAACATGGAAGCAGCGGAACAAGCCGACGCAGCCGTGACCCGACGCCACGCCCTAACTGTAATGCGAGACGGCGAACTAGCGACCTCGACGTTCTTATCGACGGCCACAGTGTGACTGCTCTCGTCGATACTGGAGCCGACTATTCTGTCATCAGTGGGTCGTTCGCCGCGAAGTTAAAGAAAGTTAGGACAGCTTGGAAAGGCCCTGAAATCCGCACAGCCGGAGGTCATCTCGTAACGCCTGCAGGAATCTGCACAGCGAGAGTCACCATTAACGGCCGTATTTATCCTACAGACTTCGTAGTCCTACAGCGTTGCTCGAGAGATGCCATCCTTGGCATGGACTTCTTATGCCTCCATGGTGCTGTCA